TGTTTCATGCATTCACAAACCATAATCCTGCATTTTCATTATGTAACATGGGAACCTCTGTCAAGTTCAGACTGGTCTGACTTTTGTCAGAAAACTTGATTTTTGGCATGAACAGAATTCATAAAATTAAGATAAACTGGTGGTTGAACTAAAAACTTTAAACAGCAATTTTTCTCTCAGTATTTCATGCAAAAGAGCAATAACTCACTCTTCTCTAAGATGGCTGAGTGTGTAAGAGTAAGTATGAGAGAGAGAAGAGGATGTATTCAGCCTGTTGAGATGGTGTCGAAAGGGAGAGAGAAGTGTCCAAATGCCTTAGACAAAAGCAGGCAGCATTGATGGTAACTGAATTTAACTTAATTGAACTGTAAAGTTAATGTTTAATGTTACCTACCTCGAACTGAATGAGTACAGTCCCACTTTCTAGCCCTTTCTCCAGTTGTTCCATGGATTTCTCCAGTGTGTCACCGTACTCCGAATATGTGGGAAGAATGGATTCTAGAAAATTCTGGGAATCTGTTTCATCTTCTGGCTTTGTCTCGACCAAGGGCTTGACAACTGAAATACATACAGGAAAATTTAGACTTTACTTGCATCCAGTATCAAACTGTACACTAAAATCTACCCAAGTACAAACATGGACATTTTCAGTCCCTCTTGATGCTGCAAGTTAGGGTCAGAGACATCTAAATAAATCTGGCTATTGTTTTACACATGCTGACCAATCCCTGTTCTACACAAATCAGCAGAAATGGCAGGTGTTCAACATCTTTGAAAAGTGAGACCAATGACTTAGATGTCTAAATATGTGTAAGAGCATAACTTTAGGCATATAGGTTTCAAAAGTTTAATCTACTGATTCACCAGCAGCCTTACTGTGTACATTGTTGGGTAGGCAAATAGATCAACCACCACCATCACAGGAAAACCCCCATGAATTTCACCTATTGAAATTTAGAACAAAATTTATAAATATGCCCATTTCAAGAATGAGAAAACGAGTCTTCTAGATTTGTTGTAAATTACATTTTCACTCTAGGTTTGGCTGGAGAGAATTTAGTGTTATTTGCACATCTGTCGATGAAAATGTAGAAGATGGTATTTTTAAAATGTTTATCAAAATGGTATTTGGTCAAGGAACTATCATACCATCACAAAAAAATTAACTGCTGACATTTTATTTAACATTATTATTGTTTAATATTCTCAAAATATTCACTCATTTGGGTCATTGCTCTTTCCTTTGATTAAAACCTCACCAAAACTGCAGCTCTGTGATGCAGAAAAACATTATTCTAAGTAGATGTGATCCTCACTTGAATGTATAAGGCTGCTGGTGCAAACATTTGTGTTCGTAATCAAGAAGAGATGTTCTCAAATGCTACCACTCTATTTCAGTACAGACCCATTCAGAGTATAACTCTTGATTATGAATATATTAAAGCAAATTGCAAGAGGAAAAAGCCACAATTTAGAGGCATGACAGTTTCAGTTACATTTTCAAACAGTGAAGTTACCTTTCCGCCTGACCAGAAGTGCAAGTTCCCTTGTGTGCAACTCTCTGCTGGCTTTTATAAACATTACTACTTGATCATGAGTATGCTCTGAGATGTCTCGACCATTGATTAACACTATCTGATCACCTTCATTCAGTTTTGGAATACATTTATCAGCCTGATTCACAATCAAAAGAAAAATATGTCAGTTTATACAACACCTTCAGTAGAACATTTCTAATCTCAGGGAGATTGAACTCATTATGCAGTAAAGACAAAATTCTGCTCTGGCAAAGTCTTACCCTCTGTATCAGAAGCTATATCAGAGGATTCTGATCTCAAGTTGACCTAAGTGGTTTCAGAATGAAGATGAAAGAACCAGTTAACCCAGCCTATTAACAGCTATATAAAAGTTTCTAATACTTTGCCATCTATATTACCAAGCAGCAATTATGAATATGTTTTATATATCTGAGTTTTGCAATCTTTGGAAACATGGACTAACACATAAAATAGCAGAGCAATTAAAATAGCAAAGAATAGGAGTAAGTTTACATTTTTATTGGGTAAAAATTCTTTACAATATAACTCCATCATCATATATGGAAATGAAAGATGAATATTAAAAACTATGTATGAGGGCTGTTCCCATATTACAGATAATTGGTTTTACTAAACTATAAATACAATTGATGATTTATGTATTTTTTGTTAGATTCACACAAGCTGCTTCTTGTTCTAAAAGGGGAGAACTGATCAAATGCCACCCAGGGAATTAGCAGCTTCATTCCTGCCTCTCCATTAACAATTTTCCACTAGCAGCAAATCATCTTCCTGCCCCTGCAGCAACAGAGGGTGGCAGGATTTAGGTGTGCCATGCATGAGGTGAATGCTCCCTGTTTGTGTAGAGATCTGCTAGACTCTTCCCTGTACTGGACTGAGCACGGGGCTTTGGAATTTCTCCTCAGTTCTTCACGAGTGCTCTTTAGGAAACAAGAGATGAGTCTAAAACAAGGCTGTTTTAGCCAAGATCTTAACAGCCAAAATCATTCTCGGAGAGGTCTGCTAAGATCAGAAGAAAATCATTCATGTTTGCTTGTCCCTAGCAAAAACAGATATTCTATTCTGGAGACACCCAGCAGCAATAAACTGAAGCCTACCTGTACAGGAGATCTGCCCCTCCTTTCAACCTACCCTTAATTGCTCCCCCATCTATACCTATGTGTGTTACAGAGCTTCACTAATCAATATCTGTTCACCTGATGATGTTTGTGCTATCAAAAAACAGGAACATGAACAAGTTGTCCTGATTAGCACTTGCCTCCTTGCCCTGGTTTGCATGTTTCAGGCAGAGAGGTGAACATCTAGAATGAGTGAGGAAGAGAAGTGGGCTAATGGAAGACATTAACGGGCAAATGTAAAACAGCAAAGAAAAAAATCTTAAAGGACGGTCACAACATTTAGTGACCATTATTTGAGTTCCCAGGCTATAGCAATTCCTTGAGAAAGTCTCTACTACATTGTACAATTTCAGAAAGCAGGATTTCAGAATGCTATTCCTGTGAATGTTTATCTTACTACTTTGATATTACCTTTTGTCATATATGTTAAAAAGTTACACCTTGGGGCAGCCAGTAGATTTTCAAGAACTTATCTAGATTCAGAGGGAAAGGTTTCAAAATCATGTAGAATCTCAAGGTTACTTGCACCTCAGGAATGGGGGTTATTTGTAGCTCTGAATAAAAGGTACAGGCTACAGTTGGGAGGGCTGGAGTTGCAGCTTCAGGATGTGTGTTGGGATGTCAGGTTCTGAGGGGAAGGATTGGGACTTCTGACTCTTATGGGCAGCAAGGCTCCAGGAAGGGGGCCCTGGGCTTTTGTCCCACAGGGAGCACCAGGGTTCAGGATTTTAAATGGGAGCTGGGGGATCACTGGGACTCTGTCCTGTGGCTCCATTCCCAAGTTCAATCCTCTGGGTGGATGCTAGGGCTCTCCACAACTCCATTCTCAGTTTCAGCAGGCAGGAGTAATGGGGGTTCTGGGAATTAGCAACAGGAGGAATGCTGGGGATGAAACGGGTGCTCCCCTTCTAGCTAAGGCCTTGAGCCCCAGTGGCTAAAGTTGGGAGTGGAGCTGAAGTGCTGAGCTGATCTAAAGCCCTGAACTTTGGAATTCCTGAGGCTCAAAACCCCTGAGCCACCTCCACTCCAGCTCCCTGGAGTCATGACTTCTCTGCCCCGGGCTGCAGCCCCACCTCCCACCACGGTTGAAACCTGAACTTCAGCACCCCCTGTGGGGCTTAAGCTGGGAGCAAAGCTGTGATCAAAAAGCCCTGAGCCCCACAGCTCTGAGGCTAAGAAGCCCCAAAGCCTCCCTCCCAGCCCAGAGTCCTGACCTCCCCCCTCCCTGCAACTGTAGCCCTAATCCCCATAGCTGAAGCCCTGAGCCTTTGTGCCCCCTGTGAGGCTTAAGCCTTGAGGCCCCAGCACCCCTCTCTCCCGGTCTAAAGAACTGAACCCCGGTGCTCCCAAAGGTCAGAAACCGTGAGCCTCTGCCCCACCCATTGACCTCATCCCACTCCCACTATGGCTGTGTCCAGACTCAGGGTTTTTTTCAGGAAAAGTAGCCTTTTTCCGAAAAAACTTCACCTGCGTCTAGACTGCAGCCGCGTTCTTTCGAAATTAAATCGAAAGAACGCGGCTTTTCTTTCGACGGCGGTAAACCTCATTTCACGAGGAAGAACGCCTTCTTTCGAAAGTGCTTCTTTCGAAAGAAGGCGTTCTTGAATGTAAATAGGGCTTCTTCGAAAGAGAGCATCCAGACTCACTGGGTGCTTTCTTTCGAAAAAGCGGCTTGCTCTTTCGAAAGTTCCGCGTGCAGTCTAGACGCTCTCTTTCGAAAGAGCCTCTTTTGAAAGAGGCTTGCAGTCTAGACATAGCCTATGCGACTGCAAATCCCCTGTGGCTGAAGCCCAGAGTGCTTTGGCTGTAGCCCCAAGGCAGTACAGTATTTGCTTCTTTTTTTCTTCTTCTTCTTCTTTTAATGCTGCTGTCTGTTTTATTACCTCTGGCAATATTATTACCTCAGGGCATCCAGTTAATTCTGTAACTCTGGCATTAGTCTCTTTGTTCAGCAAGGCCACATCTTCACTAGAAATGCTGCAGTGGAACATCTGCAGTGCTGCAGCTGCACTACTGTGGTGATTCAGTGTGGATACTCACTACAATGATTCTAGGAGCACTCTCATCACTGAAGTTAATCCATATCCCTGAGAGGCAGTAGCTAGTTGAATGGAAAAATTCTTCTAACATCTACCTAACGCTATCTACACTGGGGGTAAGGCTGTCTTACTGACTGGATTTTTCCACACTCCGAGTCATGTAGCTGGGTCAACCTACATTTTTAGCCCAGATCGGTCTTAATCAAGTGAGTCAAACAAGAAAGCAGAGTGTGGGATTGAGAGGCAGCAACATCTTACAGTGATTAACAGTTTGCCTGGAAGTTAACATTCTTCTTTATCAGTCACCAAGAATGTTAGCTGTTAGTCAGCTACTTACCAAGGAATCCACATTGTAGACAGAGAAAAAGGTAGTTAGGACAGGAATTAATCCTTTTGTGCAATATATTATACATCCCTTTTCTAGAGATCAAACTTTTCAATACAGTTGTGCTACTTGCTTTTCATCCAGTTTAAGATGTGAAGGTTTGGCATAATGCCAAGCACTTCTTTTTGGTCCTAAAAATTCCCCATACTGTTTTCAATCTAAGGTTCAATCAATTATAATTATAATGGCTTCCTCATTGTCCTACTAGGACATGAAACTATTAACTTTTAACCAAGTAGTACTTTTAAATGTCACCTATGTTTTATTGCAGTTCCATTTCTTCTTTCTTGCATTCTCTGTCTCCATAAGTGGCTAGATGGATCTTTCTTCACTAGAGCCACAAAAATTAACCTACCCCCAGATATTCTTAAATGTGTATTATTCCTTAACTAGAGGTAAATTGCTTTAAATTATACTTTCAATTACTTAGGGTCTAAAAGGGAAAACATCTGATTTATTTGGTTGTATGTGTTTTGTTCAAGTAATTCCAGAACCTCTTCTGGGAAGAGAAGAAAGTGACTTGCACAATCTGGAAAAATTAATGTAGGAATATACCATGTAATTCCCTAGAGGTGAAACATACCAATAATGATTCATTCAAGAGCAAATTAAATAAGTAGCAAAAAGGATGAAAAAGTTATAACATTAAGAGTTTCTAGTTTTGTAGACACAATAGCCTACAAATGCTCTGCACCCTACATTAAAAATGAATGTTTGAGTTTCAGCAACATCATCTTTTTAAGCAACCAGAAACTGATGCACTTTACTTTCTATGGAAAATAGTAAGATGATCATTAATCTTGCAGTACAGTAGAATCTCAGAGTTATGAACACAAGTTATGAACTGATTGGCCAACCACATACCTCATATGGAACTGGAAATATACTATCAGGCGGCAGCAAAGTCAAAAAACAGAAACAAAAAAAGCAAATACAATACAGTAGTGTTTTAAATGTAAACCACTACATAACAGTTAAAAATATTTGTTAAGGAATCTGTTTTTGTGCTTGTTTCATTTAAATTAAGATGGTTAAAAGTAGCATTTTTCTTCTGAATAATAAAGATTCAAAGCTGTATTAAGTCAAAAATTGTAAATGTGTGAAAGAACAACCATTGTGTTTTGTTCAGTTATGAACAGCCTTCATTTCCAAAGTGTTTGTAACTCTGAGGTTCTGACATACTTTCACAAAATGCACAAGGCATCAAGTTACCATGTATAGCTACCTCTATGCCATAAAACAGGGCTACTCAACTTTGGAAGCCCCAAGGGTCACAATGATACGCACAGCACATGCAGAGGGCTGCAACTTAAGTGTGGTTGCATATACGTGCAAATATATATGCAAACAGCTTATTTCACACTGATGGGGGGCATAAATACAAAGCACTTCCCACGATGCCCCAGCGCTCGCAGCACCTCCTCCGTGGGGGCTAGAAAGGCCGACACCCTGTACCCATCTGTTCTAACCAGCCCATCCAGTTGCATCTTTCAATGCTCACCCTACCTGGAAGACGCCTAGCTATTGTGGAGCATGTTGCCGTTGGAGGCCATGTTCAAAGGATCCCACCTGTGGGCTGTGTGTTGAGCCCTGTGTAAACCCAATTGCCCCGCGGGCCGCAAACAAACGGGCCACGTGTTGAGTAGCCCTGCCATAAAACAAACAAAACTGCATAAGAGGTTTCCAAACTGTGCTTCCTTATCCTTTTTCACTTGGTTGATGGTCTGTCTGGACAGCACTAACTGGTCACATGGTGCTGGCTCCTCTGTTTCCAGTTCATCCATTTCTCTAATACAACTACAGATTCATTAAATTGTATAATTCTACTTATTTATGAAAGCTGGAAAAAAAGCGACCATAGCTGATACCTATCTCTATCATCATGTCAAAGCTCTGTAACATGGGTCATACAATCACAGTTGGAGCAAGATGTGACACACAAGTCAATTTCTCTATCATGTCTATTCTGTACTATAAAAAATTTAGAGAGTCCTTGCATTATACTCTGGTCTAATTACAATGAAACTTTGCAGTCTATAAACTACAGCATAAACCACACAGAATTCGTATAAAATTAGAATCGATATATCTCTATTTGTTACACAAGTCTGGAAAAATATACTTTGAAGTATGTGCCCAAAATAAAAACTCAAAATAAAATGGCATTTGTCCTCCATACTTGATTTAGATGATGTATCTATTGTAATAGTAATAAAAAAGACATTTCAGCTATCTGTTACAACATATTCGAAGTGTACAGACACTGGAAAAACAGTGGGTTTGCTATGGAGCCATACACTGAGTAACTATATAAGGGTTTACTTACAGATGATCCTGGAGTTATTCTTGAAACTACCAGAGGCATTTTTTGATCAACACCACCCTATAAGATGTTAAATAAACAGTGATTATAAATACATCATTACAATGAATGTTACGCAGTGCATTATACCACACATAGCCTATATTTTGTTCCTACGTGAATATAAACATTTATGCTTTGCTCTCATTGAGCTTGACCCTACAAAGTGCTCAGTACTCATGTTTTAACTGCTGTGCTGAACTGGGACCAGAGAACTCAGTATCTTCCAGGATCTAACTGTAAATCTCAAACCAACCACACTTCTTTATTCCTTTTATATTTTACACAACACTGAAGTCTAATGTACATAAAACATGTCTTCTTCAGGGGGTCATGAATGAAAACGAGAATCTAACAATGCCCATGAATAAGTGACAGGGATCAGATGCCAGAACAGGGGCCTGGGTTCTCATTTTTACTATGTAACATTCAAGCAGTGTAACAGGGCCTAAAAATGGACATTAATCAGAAATTACAGAAGCTGCTACCACATCTCCTTCCCTAATTCCTTAATTTACTAGTTTTCACCTTTGTAATAATTGGTTCACCACTGGTGTACACACACCATTAACACATTTTGTTTATCCTAAAACAAGAAGGGCCTAGTTTTCAAAAAATGATCTCCTGAAGTTAGGCTCCATACTTCACTTGTAGGCATCTGAATAAATGATCAGTTTTTCAGATGTATTGGGCATATAGCAATGTCTACTAAAGACATCAGAAGCAATTGGATGCTTACTATAGCCAATGAGGTGGGTATTTTGGTGCCTATGGAGGTGATTTAGGAACTTAATCTTAAGCATCTATTTCTGAAAAAATCTTGGCTAGAGTTTATAACACTTTAAAAAATGCTAGGAGGACAGCAACAGATCATCATATTCAGGGCTCGACAAATAATACCATCTACTCGCCCATGGCGAGTAGATTGTAACCCGGAAGAGTCGGGTTCGGGCGATCTGCACATGTGCAGGGCGATCTGCGCATGCACAGATCGCCGGACAGCGCGGCTGGAGAGCAGGGCTCGCCGCGGTTCGGTGACCCCTGATCATATCCCTTAAACTCTTACCTCTGATGCAAACATGGACATTAAATATGGAAAACAATACGGATTTGATCAGCTAAAACAAGAGTTATTTAACTACATTTCATGTTCATAAGATTTTAAGCTTCCTGTTTTACCTTCACATTAAATCCAAATTTCCCATCTTCATCCGGAGTGATTCGGACCAAAAGCAAATCTCCATCAATTACTTCATTCTGCAACATATTCAAAAGGATCTTCTAGCTTGCCTATTTCATAACCCAATATAATGGCAAAACAGAACACAATATTTCCTATACAGATTAGCCCATATTAGAAAAAGAAAAAAGTAAACATGGTAAAAATAAAGAACAGTTAGGATTATATAGTACATAAAAATTGTTTGTGTTTTCCTGTTTATTATACTAGAAGAGGCAGAGATCATCATAGTTAATGATGCATAATTTTGAACATAATTTTCAGAAATTGTCACCTCCTCAATGCCTGATCCCTGCCAAAGAGGACTTTTTGTTAAGTTTCAGACAAAACAAGGCATTGTTGATTTCAAGGACTATGAAAAAGAAACATCTTTTTTAAAAAAGCATGCTTGGAACCTTTCTGAGTGTCTGACGCTTGAGAGGTAAAAATTGGGATTGAAATACTCTTCATTGAGAGTTAGCTCACTTTATATATCCTCAGCCGAAATAGCTGTGACTAAACTAAATTATTAGCCTCTAGCGGCAGGGGGGGTGTTGGCCCCTCCCCAGCCCCCT